GGGGAAAAATTGGAGAATCACCCACAGTGCTGTAGAAACAGCCTCTTGTTTAAGTTCCTGTTGGTCTATGTGGTCTGGAATACCAAGGCAGGATTCGAGAACGTACAGACAGAGGAGAGAATTATGACTGTGGTGTCCTGCATAGGATCTAGAAAGTAGGGGCACATCTGTCTACTGTCTTCTCCAAGCATTTTGTGCATCTGTTTAGAAAGGTTCACAAAGTGTAGGTTGGTTGATTTCTTTTTTTCCAGATGTATTATCCAAATTGAGTTATCAACTAGATACAAGAGTGAGGGGAGCAGGGGCAGGGAGTGTCTTTGCACTTTTCTGTTTTGAAAATGAAATAGTTGCTAAAAAAACAACAAAAATGCTTAGCTGTATCCTGAATTGAGCATGCACATTCTCCTCCAGAAGATGGAACTAAATCACGAAGCTCTAGAGCCTGTATTCCTCTGCTGTCAGCAGTTACTTGAAGCCTACTGGCAAAGCGTGTGCTTTTTCTTGCTGCTGGTGCACATGAAGACTATTGCTATCATTGTTGGCTCAAGTGACAGATGTCTGTGTTATGTATGTTTTAAAAGTCTGAAATCTACAGGCAGTGGTTTACCATTCTTCCTTTGCCTTGTACAGTGGCAGAGCCTGATGGTAAAAACATTGCATAGCCTTAAAATTAAAAAGAGCCTAATATGAAGTGCAAGAGATAGAATTCACAGTGTCTTGCTATATGGCAAAAAAAAAGGCAATGATGGTGCCTTCTAATGGAATACAGGCACTATGGAGCAATAGCAAGTCACAAAGAAGGAAAACCCCTTCCAGTGATAGCTCAAGAGGAGCATGATCTCTACCCAGAGAGTGCTGCTTCCTCAGCTGCTAACCCTCTAATGAAGGTGAGGAGATTTGGATCCAGGCACCAACCCTTCTGGTTACTCAGGTGCTTTGTTTGCACCTGCTGCCTGGCTTAGCTACACCTTCTCACCTGGTGCTCAGTCATTGGCCCAGGCTGTGACCTGGCAATTCTGTTCCATCTGTTTTGTTTAAAATTGACAGCTTTGGTTTTTGTTAGCCAACAGCATAAAGAGATTAATGTTGATTCTGCCATTAATTCATTCTATGTGTCCCTAGCTATTCATTTTAAGTACTGCTATATTTTGAGGCTTGGAGCCGTCCTATAATTTCATGGTTTTGCATTTTGTATAGTCTGCTTGGAAAAGAATGATTATTTGAATTGGTATGCGTTGGCTGTAGGACAGCTCTTGTACCATAAACCAGCAAATAATTATGTTGTTAGTAGCATTTGCACAAAAAATTGATAGCTGTGAAAAATCTTTAGCAATTTTGCTAAGTTGTGGATGCATACCTGGAAATAAAATGAACAATAAATATGAATTCAGGTGTAAGTTTGGGGTGAAATATTGTCATTTTAGGCAAGTGTTAATATAGGAAGTGTAAAAATAGTCCTGATTTGACTACCCTGTTATTGTAACTTCTGTTTCAGCACCTTGAGTTCATGGTGTGTAACTGCCCTGATTGATTACAGTTTGAATCAGCAGTGAGGCACCTGAGCATAACCAGTTTGATCTCTTACTTGGAAAGAGAAATGGAACTCTTGCTGGTCTTTACGTTTTGTTACCCAATTTTCAGGGAGACTTTTCAGCTTAATAGCCCTCTTTCCATTATAAGAAGAGTTCATGAAGTCACATGCACTTAAATTCATAATTGTGAGATGTGGATATTCAGCCAGCTAATTTTAATGTGATGCATATGGGCCTTTGAAAAATAAAAATTACAGCTTTGAACTGGGCTTTCTGAGTAAAAGATGTAATATTGCAAAATGTGTAATCTCTGGGCGGTGAGGGTAAGCACTTGTAGAGAAATGCTTACTGAACTCAACGTGTTTAGCCTAGATAGCAAGGAGATTTAACTACAGTATGCAACTTTGATGGTATGTTGTGGCAGTAGCTATAAGTATATGCAGAGAGTTTAGAATGCATTCCTTAGATATAAATTAGAAACAAGATTAGAATAAAGTTTGATTAGATAACACAGTGGCCCTGTTCCAGCACTTGCAGAGCATTTGATTTTGATGTTGAGCTGGGCTGGCTTGTGGAGTGAGAGGTCTGAGTGCTTTGGAGAGCTAGCTGGCTTTGCAGCTGGAGTCTGGCTGGAGGGTGCTCAGCAGATAACGCTGTCCCTGTCTGATGGAAGAAGGAACGTGCCTTGAGTCTCTTCGCCAGGAATCTCCACTGCCCTCCTGACAACTGAAACAAAAGTAGCAGGGGGGGCTTGCAGAGTGAGCAGTGGGCAATGCCATCTGAATCTTTCAGAACCTAATATCAACACTAAAGTTTGATTCTTCTTGTAGTGCTTATAGTGCATTAGTTGTGTTAACGGATTGGTGGAATTCAGGACAGTGAGTTGTGGGGGTGGTAATCAGGATAGATAGTGAAATGTTTCCTAATTTCTTATTTCCTGTTAAGGCCAAGTCAGCTGGGGTGTTCTGACTGATCTATGGCAGTATCTGTCATAAAGAAACATTGAACGTGCTGGGATTCCTGCCATGGTGAACTGTAAAACCTTGCATCCTCATAAAGAAACCCACAGCTTCTCATCAGATATATGTAAGGTCTGTTCTGCGTTAGCTTCTTACCAGGATGCCAAAGAGATCTTAGCTCACCAGGGGAGTGAGCTAGGAGCAGAGGAGCTGTGTGCATAGGGTAACTGCAGTGTCCAGTATAGGGTTGCAGCTGTTTTCTAAAGTCAAACAGAACAACCTGTAATGTAAGTTTTCTTTTAAATCTCCTTCGGGAGCTGGGCACATGAGTAGCTGGCAACAAGGTGGGAGACTTCCTCCTAGCTCTCAATAACTAGAGCTATTGCTTGATCTGCAGGTAGAAAACGTTCTCCAGTATCTGTCAAAGATCAGAAGTAGGGGATGGACATCACTGACGTATATACGGTTCATCAGACTCACCTGTCCATATGTAGTACCTTCCAGGGCAAGCTGTCAGCATGTGTTACTGACAGAAACATTCAGAGTTTTAACAGTACATATAACATATGTACCTTCATATGCATGAAAGATCAAGAGCATAGAGATGACTGTGAACATCACTGAGACTTAAAGCAGGCTGGCAGATGGGCAGAACCGTCAGGACATAAAGAATGTAGGGTAGAATGTCTTTGCAGATAACGTCCCTCTTGCCTGAGCTGTGTTCCATCTCTTTGTGCCTTATTTTAATGCATTTCTCGAGTGCATTAAGATCAATTGAAGTGTTATTATTCTTTGTCTAAAACTATCTGAGCTTAGGCTTTATTATACTCTTGGTGTTTAACAATGCACTTTTCTTCCCCTAAGAAAATGATTTAGGCCACTGTAGTTTCTTTATGTCATGGATATGATTCATTTTGGCCATGGGAGGAGAATGACAGTTACTTGCTGCACAGACCTTTCCTGTGATTCATGGAGTGCCATTTATGTCAGCCTTGAAGGAGACACTTCATATGCATCCTAGCAGGAAGGAAAAAGAGCCTGAACACAGTTACGAGATAGGATATGGAAGTTGAGTGGGAGGGAAGGGAGAGGGGAGAGGGAAATGTTGCACGGATGCCAAAATTCTGTCTGTGTTATCCATTTACCTACTTGATGGAAAATGGATATGTACCAAGTTTATGTATAATTAAGGGAAACATCGTAACTGTAATTGCCATGTTCACAAAATAGTACAGCTTATTATATAACTTTTTTGGGTAAGTGTATCTTAACACTCTTCCTGCCATCTCTGGGATCCATCACTGTTTCATAAAGTGTGCATGCAGTTCCTAGCCCTGAGTGTTGCAGCTAAGCTGGGATGGCCATGGACAGTGCTTTGTCTTAGCTTTGTGCTCTGAGAGATTTTTGTGCTCCAACATGCAAATGCAGTTAGCAACTTGAGAAAGGCACTAGCTTGCCAAATAGGAAATGATCTTCCTTTATTTGCACACACATGCACAAAATTTAAAGAGCTATACTGTGATTTTCTTCCTAAAAATAACAGTGCTGATTGGCTCTTAAGCTGCTCGTAAAGGAGAATTCTCCACTAAATGGCTTTTCCTAATGCTGCATGAGGACTGTGGGCTCTATTGCAGCTTCCAGCTGCATCTCATGGTTTTCTTTGTACCTGGAAAGTGCAGATAGGAATAAATGGGGGCAGGAGAATTAGAAATTTATATATCCTAATTCCTGAAGGCAGAAATGTAGTTAATTTCCTGAACAGGTTAGGGGCTTGTGGCTGTTTGTCCTCTGCTGCTGGCATCACCTGTGTCAGAAGGCAGTGCTGTGCCCGTGGCACCTGCAGTGAGTCTTTGTCCAGCTGAGGAGATGCACAGCAGCGTCAGAATGGGAAAGCAGCGGTGTAGTTCGAGATGAAAGGAGTGACAGTAGGGACAATAAAGAAGAGAATAGAAGTGGATGAGAATTGCTAAGCACATGTTCTGTGTGTTCATTGATTTTTCCCTGGCAATTAAAATGTTACTGTCTGATTCACCGGTGTTACTCAGTTTTCCCTTATGGCTTGGCTTATAAAATGCTGTCTCAATTTTGATTTCATGTTAGCTGTGTTTATTGGGGACAATAGGGTCTAGCTATAGCTGTGGACTATACCACACTGAAAGGGCATCTAAGTTTCTTGTGAATTTTTCTGAAGCAATGTGATGAGTCATGAAATACAGCTTTTGCAGAAAATATCCTGATTGCCTAATGACTAGGTGTTGGTAGCTGAAATTACACACACTCTCTCTGGTTCACATGAAACCAGGGAAGTGTCCTTCTGAGTAAGCTGTTTGTTCAAGTTACCCAAGAAATGTCAAGGTTTATGGTTGCAAAATAGGAAAGAAGTATGTGTTGGAGGAGCTTAGAAACACCTGCTGTGCCTTGTGGCATTAACAGCACCATCTGTAAAGAAAAAATGCCTCCTGAAATGTGTACAGCTGATCATCCATGTGCAACATGCTTTGTTTTGCAGATGATGAAGAGGATGTTAGAAGTATGGAAAATGTCATGTTAGAGTATGCTGCATTGGACAGAGAGCTTAATCATTACATGAGAGCGTTTGAAGAAACGGTAGATCAGGTAAACTATCAACTTCTGTAAAGGTTACTAAACTATGTCCTTATTTAAGTATTGTCCTGATACAAATTCTACATCAAAGTGCTATAGCGGGAAAAATAGGCCCTTGAGCAGTATAAAATACTGAGGTCAGCAGTCTAGCTGTTCACCCCTAATGACACATCTGTGTGCTGCTGCTTTCCACACTACTGCAGCAAGGACAGCACAGGGGGAGCAGCGCTGCGGCACTCAGCGTGGCTGTGGGTGCTGCCATGGCTCTAGTGGTGGCAGCTCCGTGCTGTGAGGAAGATGGAGGTGGCACAGTGAGGGAGGTGGCCCATTTCAGGGACTACTAAGCGGCTGTGGCAGCAGAGGGACTGACGATGCCTGGTTTCCACAGTCTTTTGGCCCACGTGGGTTTGCAGATGCTTAGTAAGGGTGAGCTTGTTAATTGTTCTCCCAGTTTGCCGCCTGAACCCTCGTTTTTGCAAGAGCCGAAGCATGTCAGTATTTTCAGTGGTTTCCAGCTCAGTGCACGGCAGTTGCACAAGAGGTGCTATGAACCCAGGGGTGCTTGCGCAAGCTCCTCTCCAGCGAGCTGCGCTCATCAGCGGATGCCGCGGCCCAGAGGAGGCCCGGGCCCGCCGCCTCCGCTCGCCACAGCCGCAAGGGGGCGCCATGGCCACGGCAGCGCAGGTACAGAGGCAGATCCACGCATGCAGAGAGCGTGTTTCACTTCTGCCTGATGCCTGAGGGCAGGAAGGCCCCCCAGAGGGACCTGCATAGGCTGGATCGATGGGAGGGACCAGGCCAACTGGATGAAGTTCAGCAAGCTCTAGTGCCAGGTCCTGCGCTTCGGTCACTACAACCCCAGGCAATGCCATGGTCCTGTGGCAGAGTGGCTGGAAAGGATTTGAGAGCGCTGGTTGACAGCTGGCTGCACGTGGGCCAGCAGTGTGCCTGGGTGGCCAACAGCATCCCTGGCTTGTATCAGCGATAGTGTGGCCAGCAGGAGCAGGGAGGTGATTGTCCTCGTGTACTCTGTGCTGGTGAGCTGCACCTGGAGTGTTCAGCTTTGGTTCCCCCACTACAAGACAGACACGAAGGCCTTGCAATGTGTCCAGAGAAGGGCAGCGAAGCTGCGAGGGATCTGGAGCACAATCTTATGGGGAGTGGCTGAGGGAACTGGGATTGTTCAGTCATAGAAGAGGAGGCTCGTGGGAGACCTTATTACTCTCTACAACTCCATGAAAGCAGGCTGTGGCGAGGTGAGTCTCAGCCTCTTCTCCCAGGTGACAGTGGTGGGACAAGCAGGAAAGGCCTCAAGTTGCACCAGAGGATGTTCATGTTGAATGTTTCTTCTCAGAAGGAGTGGTGAAGCATTGAAATGTACTGCCCAGGGAAGTCTCTGGGGGTGTTCAACAACCGTGTAGATGTAGCACTGAGGGACGTGGTTTAGTGGCATGGTAATGATGGGCTGATAGTTGTACTAGGTGATGTTAGTGGTCTTTTCCAACCTTAATGATTCTGTGATTCATGAGGGGAAGTTTAAGCTGGACATTAGGAAAAGTTTTTGTGCTGTGTGTACAGTCGGGTACCAGAATGGGCTTCCTAGCACAGTGGTTGATCCCCTGTGGCTGTCAGTGTTCAGGAGGCATTGGGATACTGCCCACAGTAGTGTGCTTTGAGTTTTGGTTAGCTCTGAAGTGGTCACATTGTTGTGTTGGAGGAGCTCTGAAAGACCCTTCCAACTGAACTGTTCTAATCTACCCCTACCATACCCTATCCTATCTCAATGCTTAGAGAACTCATCTTTCAAAGTAACCCATTTTGATTCTGCTAATAGACGCTCGGGTATCAATTCTACAGGGACTTCTGGAGGAAGCAGAAGCATGTCCCTAATTTCCCTTCAAGAAATCTGTGCTTCAAAGCATTAAGGCATTGGAGCATGTCATGTTGTTTGTTTGTTAGTTTTCTTGCTCTTTTTAAAACGAAAGGAGGAGAGAAAAGCTATGCAGCCTTGCACTAGTTCTGTTCTGAGAAATGGCTGAATATTTTCTTTTGTAGGAAGGTTTTCTTTTAAGTTTTAAGCATCCTGAGTCAGATGCTTGGCTGAAAAATAACCATTCAAATAATCAAATATTACATGTTCAAAAGGAGCTGGAAAGTGTGTCTACATCAGCAAATGTTGAACAGCATACTCACTGTATGCCTTTACTCATGTAGCCTTTAAATATGTATTTCAACGTGCATCACCTTAGCTGCAGTCCTCCTAGCTTATATTTCTTAAGAATGGGACAGTTAAGAATTGTTCCCTTTTATTGGAAGTATCAATGATTCTTAAAGCTTTCCTAATAAAACATAGCATAGTCCTCACATCGTTAGAGATTAATGGTGTATAACTGAAACATGGTAGGTTTATATTTTAATTGTAAACTGTTAACTAATTGATGTGTTGTTGAAACACTTTAGTAAGAATTTTCAGTAATCTCATGTTAGGATTATAAAGATGAGGAGTATAAAGACCTGTCCCTTAACTAGCAAAGCGCTCAAACCCTGCTTACTTGACACGCATTTGCTCACAGTCTTCAAGTTATCCATGGGCTGAAATGCTTGCTGCAGCAGCAGTAACATGGGCCATGTAGGTCAATGATACACGCATGACTTTTATGTCATGCATCAAATTGCACTCTTGTAAAAATAAATAAATAAAAATCCTGGAAGGTTGATCTTCTTTTTTCTTTTTTCTTTTTTTCCTCCCTCATTTAGTTCATTCATATTGTGTCATAGATCCTTGCTTGCTAAAACAAGCTCCTGTTCTGTTTGTTCATTCCTAAGACTTTAAATGTGCAGCTCCAAGACATTTAGCACATGTAAGGGTCTGTGTGGATTATAAAGCCAGTGAGGGTTGATCTCAGCCTCTAGCCACACTTCTCCTATCTCTGGGCGCTACTTCACTGGGAATTTTCTGTGCTTTCCACTGGCAGTACACTGAGCAAACCTTTTGAGTGTAAAGAGAAACAAGTGTGTATAATGTAAAACAATATATATGAAGTAGAACAAATATAGGAATTGTTCTCTAAATAGTAAAAGCCTGTGCTTTGTGCTGGAGGACAGCTGTATGCAATGCCTTCAGAACTGTACAGTTATTTCCAGTTAGCTGTCAGAAACCAATTTCAAATTTACTTTTGGGAAACAAAGATACTGTTGCTGAATTTAGGGCAGCACCTGAAGGTAGTGTAGAAAGGGTTGGGTTTAAAATAGCCTCTGCTGGCTTGCTCCCTGGTGCCATCTGAACTCCTTGCCTGAGGGCATTCTGCGGGAAGCTGCAGCAGGTCATTGGGTTTCATAACCTGACTGCTTTTTGTATACTGTCTTAACAGTATTTGTCTCAAACTGGAAAACGTGCTTTATCTAATTACTCTGTGAGTTTGTCTACTGTCATTTTATCAGATCTGTAGTTTCTTCAGGCAGCTGTGAATCTGGAAGTGTTTTACCTTCTAATCACCTGCTTGTAGTTCATGTCCAACTGGAAGTTAGAAAGGTAAGGAGACAGCATCAGTTAAAATCCCAGATTTATTATTTCATTATGCATACGTTTAAATGACTGTCAAGCAGATACTGCACAAAAGAAGTATGTCATGTAAATGACAAATGGGGATATGGCTGCATGTTCTTGAAAGCTGAGTTTTTGTTGGTTTGTACTGCAGTCGGTAGAATGCAGAAGGTGAAACATATCAGCATCTTCTGGTTGAATCAGCAGCCCGCTGAGTAAGAAATGAGCAATTGAATCGCAGTGTTTCCAACAATAGGCTGTGGGAAACCCTTGGTCTGTGGAAACTCCCTGTGCCACTGGATTTTCTTGTACCTGTGGAATGATTGGACTCCTACTGCTGCTGCCTTTTTGAGTTTTAACAAATATATTTTTAAAAAGTTACCTAAGGTTTGGGTCCTTTCCAAGCATAGTCAGGACAGTACTCATATTTTTCATGTAGCAACAGCAGCAAGAGAAAGACGGATGGGGCTGGAGTATGTCTTGCTGACTGCTTTATGTGTGGGAGTGCACCAGAGTGATTGGGACCCAGGGTGACTTAGCCATCTCAAGTGTTCCCTACCCTGGGAGAGCTCCCAGGTGCTCAGTGCCAGCATATTGTGCCTGCTCCCTCGTTGCTTTCTAGGTTAGAAAGGGTGTTGGCTGCGGGCTCCCACTGCTCACTCTTCTTTTCAAGCATTTGACTCTTTGAGGGGCTGCAAGAGCTGGGGTAAATTTTCTGAACTTCCCCGATTTCTCTAAGCAAATCACAAGATATTCTAGATCTGTCTAGAAAACAGGGAAGACTTAACTAGTTCTCCTAATGTAGCATTATTCCTGCCTCTCTTTTCTTCTACGCTCCCATCTCTCATCATCATCATCGTCATCATTAAATTTGGCAGGAAAAGAGAATCTGGCATTTTTTTGCCTTCTGCAAAGGAGAGGAGCATTGAGTTTGGTGGTGGCATTGCTAGCAAGGTTCACAGAATCACAGAATCACAAGGTTGGAAACGACCTGCAAGATCATCTAGTCCAACCACCTTCCCATTCCTATCAGGTTGACTTAGTTCTTCTTATTATAAGTTTCTGCTTTGCCAAACAAGCATTTGTCTTGCTTGTATTGTATTTTCTTTTTGCTAAATCTCAGTGCACATTTGAAATCTAAACCTGAGTGATGTGGAAGGAAAACATAAGAGATGTGTTTAAGAAAAGTTTTAAGGGTCATACTTAAGGAATGGCTGAGAACAGGAAGAGAAAGATAGAAGGGTAGAGGGTGTGGGCTTGGGAAGTCTCGAATTCGTGTAGAGGGATCACTAAGTGGCTGACTGAAAGAACACTCAGAAAGCTGTGGTATTAAGTTAGGGGAAAAAAAGGAGGAGGATATTAGAAGCTTTGTTGATGCTTTGGTTTTATCCCTTCTTTCACAGCTTTCCCATGCTGTTTTAGGTCAGTGACATATATATCAGCCTGTCAGCGACTGCTGATGTATGTC